ACTGGGGTAATCGGGATGGGTGTGTCAGAGGCAGTGCGGTTGGCGCAGGATAGAGCACGGTTTAGGGCTGTTGTGCATAGGGTCGCTATGAGTCAGAAACGACTCGACGGCACATAACAACAACAGACTAAACTTCTATTCTCCACATTCTCTCACCTGCAGTTTAGTCTGAATAAGATATTCACTGGTAGATTGAAATCACCAGAAGGGAACCACCTTTGGGTTAGTAGTACAACTCCTACATACTAGGCTACCAAAGCCCGCTTACTGTTTCATAGAGATCAGTATCTTCTCACTAATAATAGCATTAATCTCCAATGAGATAAGAGATCACTGGCTACATCAGACTTCATATTGCACAAAGAAAAGATCTTCTAAAAAAATAAACAGCTTACTTTGGCTTCAGTTTCTCCCCTGTGAAGAGTATAGAGGTGATGGACAGCACTTTGTGACGAGGACCAAGGATGAGTTAGAACTTGGAACACATGAAAATCATGGCCAAGTGTGTCTGTTGTGACTAGAAGCATTCCTGAAAGAAAAAGAAAAAAGAATAAAAATAAAACTTATAATACCTATGAAAGAAAACTTTTAAAACTACTAATCAGTTTTAAATTATTGCCATAGGAAAATGTTATTGAAGATATAAGAGGCTTTCAAACACAAAATACTAAAATAATTTTCCTATGTAAACAAAAACTTTAATACCACATTAATATACCAGCACAATGAGAACACTAGATGTACAGATACAGGTATATGACTTTTTTAAGAAAGTTATTTTTTTAAGAACAAGAATAATGGATATAGCAGTAAAAAACTAAAGAAAGGAATATTACAGTAATACCTGGTAACACACATAGGTTAATTTACAAACAACAATTTAAATTACTTCCATATAATAAATAACTATTTCTACTGATATAATTATTTTTATATAATAAATAATAGTGTTATTTTTTTAAATTTTATTTTCTTAATTTTACTGAATGTTTACAGAGATTTTGGATTTCTTTCTTTTTTTTTAATTTAGGTTGTTTATTTTTCATTTCAATGAACATCTACAGAGATTTTGGATTTCCATTCATTCATTGTTGCACTTTTCTCCCTGCCCACCCCTCTCCCCCAGTTCACTCCTCTCTCTGAAAAGTAAAAGAAAAATTCTTTCATTGGTATACAATCTCCCATCTCTCCCCAAGTACACTCCACTATGCAACCTTCATTCTGGACTGTTGTCATAATCATAATACCTAATCATATATCGCTTTTAAACTGTTCTCTCCCTCATCTGTTTCAATACAGTATACATAATTTATCCAATTATAACACTTTTACAAAGAAATATGCAGAAGCACAAACAGGTTAAAAATTCACTCTTGACACCTATCTAGTAAATAAAACAAGACTCAAAATTATTGGCTTAACTCCTGGGCCTCTACAAGATAAAGACTAATAACCCAATTATAAAACAGGCAAAAGATATGGAAAGAATTTTCACAGAGGAAGATATCATATCAAATGGCAAACAGACACATGAAGAAATGTTGAAAATCACTCGCAGTAAGAGCGATGCAAATCAAAACCACAATGAGGTACAATCTCACGCCATTAACAGTGGCAAAGTTTAACAGAGCACCAAGTAATAAATGTTGGAGAGGATGTGGTGAGAAAAGAATTCTTATGCATTGTTGATGGGATTGTAAAATGGTAGAACCATTCTGGAAGGCAGTTTACAACTTGTCTTTACCATAGTTTGCAACTGCCTGCAGAGTGTGTCACAGAACAAGTTTTTAAAGAGTATCATAAATAGGAAATGTCCTGGGTAAAAATTTCTTACCTAACACAAGGTCGGTGGACAGTGTTGGCTAGAGCTTCCCGACTAAATCAAGCCTGGAAGCAGGAGCGGCATCCACTTCCAAAATGGCTTGCCTCCGGAAACTCTATGCATGCATAGTGCTCAAGTTGTTCATTCATAGGGTCGCTATGAGTCGTCTACGATTCGACGGCACCAAACAACAATGACAACGACAATGACAAAGAGAGCTACGTTGGCCAAGTGGAAAGGAAACTATGCTACCAAGCTGAAGGTGAGTGATTTTCATCTGTGGCCCTCAGGCCAGGTTCAAATTGTTTTCCTGTCCAGCATTCTTCTAGGTGGTATAGCACTGGTCTGTGCACTGCTGTACAGAGGTAACTCGTCGTTGCTGTGATGCTGAAGACTGTGACAGTGATGTGCCAAGTATCCATGGTGGACAGTGTTGGCTGGAGCTTCGTGACTAAATCAAGCCTGGAAGCAGGAGCAGCATCCACTTTCGAAATGGCTTGCCTCCAGAAACTCTATGTACGAACAGTGCTCAGGCTGTTCGTTCACAGGGTCACTATGAGTCATCTACCACTCGACAGCACCAAACAACAACACAAGGTCACAAAGACACTGTGTTTTTATTGTGTTTTAGATTAAAGTTTACACATCAACCTAGTTTCAATTACTCATACACAAACAGTTCTGTGACACTGGCTGCAATCTCTACAATGTCTCCTGCTCATCTCTAATTTGGGATCATCCTTTCATCTGTCTAGTTTCCCTGTCCCTTTCTGCCTTCATTGCTTTGTTTTTGGGCAAATGTTGCCCTTCTGGTCTCACATAGTTGACCGTTTTGGGAAGCACACACACTTTTCACTGACATTGTTTATTTTTTGACAGTTTATCATTAGAATGAGAAGTGACCTCTGGGAGTGTCCTCAGTTCAACATCAGTGGGGTGACTTAGGGAAACCCTCTTAAGGGTTCTTCTAGTCTCTGTCAGACCAGTAACACTGGTCCTTTTTTTTTTTCACTCTTAATAAATTTGTGCTTTCTTCTACATCTTTCCAATATTCTGACTGGGTCCCAGGTCAGTCAGGTATGTAGTGGTTTCTGTGGTCCAGCAGAGGATTCTGTGGCCATTAGTCCTTTGGACAATCTGCTTCCTTGAGTCTCTAGGGTTTTTTTTCACTCTCCTTTCCTCTGATAAGAGACCAATAATTACATCTTACAGTCACCCGCAAGCATTTAATATATCAGTAGCAACTAATCAAAGTAGGAAGTAGACCACAGTCTTTGGAAGTAGGAAGCAGGACAGAGTCTTTGTGTACTATGTTTTGCCAATTGTCTAGATGTCCCACAAGAGTGTGCTTTCAAGTTTAGAAGTTCAATATCACAAATATTTGATTATGGTTATGAGAGTTCTGGAGCTGTGCCTTAGTGTATGTGTGTGTGTGTGTGTGTGTGTGTGTGTGTGCGCGTGTGTGTGTGTGTGAGAGAGAGAGAGAGAGAGAGAGAAACACATGAAGCAAACAGAAAGAGGCAGAGGAAAAGTCTACAATCATAACTATGTTCTCCTATGTTTCATGATTTCCATTTAGGTCTATCAGACATTCTAATTTTTGTATACAGGTTTAAGTTCACATTCTTATATATGAGACCAATGGTTTCAGAAAGATTTTTTCTTTTTCATCAAATTGTGGTGATGAAGGAAGAAGTTCAAGTTGCTCTCAAAGAACTGGCAAAAAACAAGGCTCCGGGAGTTGACGGCACACCAACTGACATATTTCAATAAAGAGATGCTGCCTTGGATATGCTCACTAAGCTCTGCCAAGAAATCTGGAGGACAGCCACCTGGCCAGCTGAAGAGATCTATATTTGTCCCCATTCCAAAGAGAGGTCACCCGACAGAGTGTGGAAATTATCGAACAATATCATTAATATCACATGCAAGCAAGACTGCTGAAAATTATCCAAAAACAACTGGAGCAACACATCAACAGAGAACTGCCAGATGTACAGGCTGGGTTTAGAAGAGGCCGGGATATTGTAACTAATGTTAGATGGAATTGGCAGAAAGCAGTGAGTACCAGAGAAATGTTTATCTCTGTTTCACTGATTATGCAAAGGCTTTGGACTGTGTGGATCACAATAAACTGTGGCTGACTCTGAGAGAAGTGGAATTCCAGAACACTTGATTGTCCTTATGCAAAACCTATACTTGAACCAGGAGGCAGTTGTCATAAGAGAGCAAGGAAACACTGCATGGTTCAAAATCAGGAAAGGTGTATGCCATGGATGTATTCTGTCTCCATACGTTTTCAATCTGTATGAAGAACAGAACATCCGGGATCCTGCACTGTACAAGGAGGCATGTGGCATCACGACTGGACGAAGATTCATCAACAACCTGCATTATGCAGATGACACAACCCTGCTTGCTGAAACTGAGGGGGACGTGAAGAGCTTGCTGCAGAAGGTCAAGGACGGAAGCCTTCAATATGGATTTAATTTCAATATCAAGAAAACAAAGATTCTCACCACTGGTTGAGAACTGTTAAGTTTTAGTTTGCTTGGCTCCACAATCAACAGTCTTGGTACCAGAAGCCAGGAAATCAAGAGATGAATTGCATTGGGAAAGTCAGCTCTCAGAGACCTCTCCCAAATACTGAAGTGCAACGATGTCAGGCTTGAGTTTAAGGTGTGCATGATCCAGGCCATAGTCTTTGCAACTGGATGCTACGTGTCAGAGAGCTAGACAATGACTAGGGATGACAGAAAGAGAATTGATGCCTTTGAGCTGTGTGGTGCTGGAGAAGAGTGTTGAATATACCATGGACTGCTAGGGGAACAGTCCTGGAAAAGGTGAAACCAGGCTGCTCCTTGGAGGCAAGGATTTTGAAGTATTGTCTGACATACTTTGGGTATGTTGCAAGGAGGGACTAGTCCTTGGAGAGGGACATCACATTTGGGAGGGTGGAAGGACAGTGCAAGAGAGGAAGACCCTCGATGAGATGGATCGATTCAGTGATTAGGATAATGGGATTAGGTGTTTCGGAGACAGTGAGGTTGGCACAGGATAGAGCAGGGTTTAAGCCTCTTGTACATAGGGTTGCTATGAGTTGCAAGCAACTTGTTGATACATAACAACAACATTGAATTAAAATTTTCCAAAAATCAAGTGATTATATTTCTGTGGGTTTGTTCTTAGGTGATTTGTTTTCAGCAATCATACCACTATAATATTACAGAAAATACTGAAATTGGTAAGGCATCTTCCCAGATCTAACCTTTTTCAATATTTTTTGGCTACTCTAATTTTTTGCTTTGCTATATACATAGTCAGCTTTATATTATAATAAATACTAAAATTCTGCAAGAATTTTTTTTTTAGGGATGATAATATAGTCTATAAAAATCTATTTGAGACTAGATTACACACAAGCAAAATACTGCTGAAGATTATCCAAAAGTGACTGGAACAGAACATCAACAGAGAACTACCAAAAATACAAGTGAGGTTTAGAGGATGTCATGGCACTAAGGACATCACTGCCAATGTCAGATGTATCCTGGCTAAAAGCAGAGAGCACAAGAGCAATGTCTATCTCTGTTTCACTGACTATGCAAAGTCATTTGACTCTATGGATCACAATAAACTGTAGCTAACCTTGGGAAGGGTAATCCCAAAACAGCACATGTAAAATCTATACTCAGACCAGGAGGCAGTCATCAGAACAGAGCTTAAGGAAACACTGCATGGTTCAAAATCAGAGAAGGAATTGTGTCAGCGATGCATACCATCTCCGTAACTTTTCAATCTGTATGTAAAATAGATCATTTGAGAAGGTGGACTTTATGAGGAGAAATGTGGCACCAGGATTGGAGGAAGACTCATCAAATATCTGTGTTATTCAGATAATACAACTTTACTTGCTGAAACTGAGTAGGGCCTGAAGAGGGGCAAGGACTGTAGTCTGCAATATGGATTGAAGCTCAACATCAAGAAAACAAAGATTCTCAGCACTGGGCCCATTGGCAGCATCATGATTAATGGAGAAAATATTAAGATTGCTAATAATTTCAGTTTGCTCAGCTCCACAATCAACACTCTTGGCATCAACAGTCAGGAAATCAAAAGACAAACTTCATTAGGAAAGTATGCTGTCAGAAACCTCTCCGGAGTGCTGAAGAGCAAGGATGTCAGTCTAGAGACTAAAGTGTGCCTGATCAAGGCCATGGTCTTCACAATTACTTGCTATGTATCAGAGAGCTGCAACCAAGGATAGCAAAAGAATTATTGATGCTTTTGAGCTGTAGTGATTGAGAAGAGTTCTGAACATACTATGGACTGCCAAGAGAATTAACAGGTCTGTCCTGGAGAGGATGAAACCAAGCTGCTCCTTTGAGACAAGGATTTTGAGACTCTAGTCACATACATCCTGGGCATGTAGCCAGGATGGACCAGTCTTTAGAGAAGGATAATATCATGGTTGGAAGGGTAGAGGGACAGCACAGGAGAGGAAGATCTCGGAGGAGATGAATTGACACAATAACTGGGGTAATAAGGGTAGGTATGTCAGAGACAGTGAGATAGGCTTAGGATAGAACAAGGTTCAGAGCTACTTTGCATAGGGTCACTATGAATTGTAGGTGACTCAACGGAACATAACAACAGCAATAATACCTTAACAATACTGAGCCTTTTGTTCCATAATTTATTTGTGCTCTTTGATTTTCTTCCAAAATTTTAAAATTTCTACACACAGATCAACACTTTTTCTTCTTTGATCCATTATAGATGATACATTTATCACTTTTTTGCTACCAACTTTTTATGCTAGCATAATTCAAACTCATGCCCTCAAGTAAATTCTGATTTACAGGCACCTTCCATCACATTTCAGATGCTGTAAATCTGAAGAGGAACTGCTCACCTTTCACCGGTACAATTGCTGGTGAATGTGAACCACTGGATAAAACAGAACAAGCTATTGGACTACACCACTAGAACTCCTAGTATATAAAGATGCACGTGATTTTTTAGAAATATAGAACATATATCCTACAAACTCTAGTTCTATGGAGTAGATGGGATTTGTTTTTTGCAGCAAGTCTGTGAATAGACAGTTTAATAATGACATTTCCAACTAATATGCCTTTTCTTTCATTTTCTCCTCTTATAAATTTCTTCAGTTTTTGTTATAACTAGTGAAGAAAACTAACCAGGAAAAACATTTTTTACCATTTAAAAAAATCAGACATGGAATCAAGCTATTTGTCTCTTTTTTCTTTTTCTTTTTAAATAACTTTTGGTAGTTTGGGTTGGTGGTGATTTTTTTTTCTTTTTAATTTAACAAATTGGTCCATTTCTTCTAATACATTTAATTTTTAATATTGTTCACAGTTTAGATTAGGATTCACTCTATGTGTAGTACTTTGAGTTTTGACAAGTGCTTAATATTACATGTCCACCATTACATTTTCGTACATTCTCTCTCTTTGAAAAATTTTCCTAAAATTTTTCAAGGAAATATCTTAGTAACTTCAGTAATTGTTCTGTGTGTGTGTGTGTGTGTGTGTGTGTGTGTTCTCTTTGGTTTTTGGGGGACTTTGGGGGTTTTTTTGTGGGTTTTTAAAAATTTTTTTATTGTTATTATTATTAATTTC